GTGAGGTCTTCTTTAACTCCAGTCAGAATTCCACTTGTAACTTGCCGGTATTTAGGTTAAAGGTTCAGAGTGTAACCTGGGAATTGGTAGTACTTCAGTTTGTCATCCGAAAGGTTTGCTTCCATAATTGTGAAAATGTCTACATCATAGGTTTGTAGAATATTCTGTACTTGGATATTTTTGTCCTCTGACATCCCTCCAGCATTCCACTGGAGGATCTGAAGACGTTGTGATTTGCCCTGTCGAGGGCGATTTCTCTTATAGCCTTTTTTAAAGCTAATCATAATAAATCGAATTCAAATCAAATGCCGAGTGATAGACTTTTTTGCCGTACGAAGATACGTTGTCCAGGGAGGTAAGTCAATCGAGCACGCCCTATTTGCAATATATTACTAAAGTCTTTTCGTCTAAGGCTTAATATGGAGTATTCGACAAATTAGATGACGAATAAAAAACAAATAATTTATAGCCATATTGCTCAATTTTAATTGAATGAAGTAGATAAAATTTAATCATGGCATGGAAAATTAAATATTATTTTAAAATGCGACATAAATAGCTGGTTACTACTGTACAATATTTTAATCAAATTTATGATACATTGTTTAATTAAACCGATTACCAAGTTCCAACAGGTGGTAATTTGAAGGCCATAATTCGTTAATGTACTCACAATGAAGACTTATTTAAATGCATCAAAAATTGCAAAAATAAAAAATGATTTAATGGAAAAGTTTACAGAATATCAACAAATGATTGGAGATTTAAATATCACAAAAAGATGCGACTATAAAGTCATAAGATATATAGGAGCTGGCGGTTATGGAGTTGTTAAATTGGCCCAGAACAATCGAAATGGTGAACACGTGGTGCTTAAATTCTCCAAACATATTAATGGAACCTACGTTCGTAAATCAACTGTTCGCGAATTGTGCCTCTTAAGTCAATTTGATCATCCACATATTATAAAGCTGCTGGATATTTGTCTTGAATTAAGTGAGGACAATTTGTTACTTAATTCTTAGGAAAAATAAATGATCGAATACTTCCCAGATTTACCTTAGCACTTGAATTATGCCGTTGCGACCTTCGAAGTCTCATATTTGGTCAGATTAGATACCAACCAATTCATAGCCAAAGTATTTTTCAGCAAATTTTGCTAGGCCTAGAGCATCTGCATAGGTAAGGAAACGTAATATTGTTGGTATAAGCTAAGAAATAAACTAGAATGCATGAATATTGTGACGATTTTTACTTAGAGAATATTTATATTTATTAATATTTTTGACATAGGCTCTTCACTAATATCCTGAAATTGTGTTCCAAGTTATAATTATTTACTTTTGATACGATATTGCCCTTTGGCGGTTAACTTTAACTTGATTTTATTTTAATTTAGTGATATAAATAATTTTAAATATACGTTTGCTCATTGTTTAAGATATCGGGTATTAGTTTTTATTAACTTACCAAATTTTGACATTCACATTGCATTGAATTCTTTGAAATTCGTCGGTGGTATTCTGAAGTAGCGTGTAATGTTTTATTATTGTTTCGTAATGTGAGAGCATCGAGCCTTGCTTTTATCTATGTTTCCAAAGTCGATATCATATTTCTTAACATCCTTATGCTCATACGTTTGTAACCACTATATTCTTTTTCTTCACTATTTATTTTTGACTAATTGATTTATTTTAATTCTTCTCCAGTCCCATATACATGCCCCTGGCTGTAAAGAGGTGCAAATAAAATCTACGCTACAAATTTATTAAAAGCATAGAAGAACACAAAAGACCAATATTATTACTATTATTAAAGGGAATAAGTATCACTGGGAGGTTCATATTTCTTAGTAAAAGTAGTTTTTGTGTGCTTACCTGATATTTATAAGTTTTCATTTGGACACCTGATCTACTGTCCAGTCAGGGTTCATAAAATAGTGAATTTTCTTTCATTAAAGTTATCAATGCAACGGAAGTATAATACTTTTTTATTTGTTGATACAGCCTTATACTAGCAATATCCATGAAAAGCAAAAATAGCATTTATAACATAAAGGGAGAGGGTGGAGAGAAAGAACACAAGTGTACGGAAAGAATGAAGGATTTGCATTCAGAAATGGTTGTCTCGTTTGAATTAATGATTCATTGGACTATTTGAGCGTTTATATATCTTCAAAGTTAGAATTATGATTTTCCAATTCGTCAAATTCAATGTTACAAATCTATGTCAAATTTTGTTTGTACTACCTGTTTGTAATATGTCAGAGATCTCGTGAGTGTATTCGAATTATTATTAAATAAAAAAGCTGAATTAACTCAGCTGCTGAAATCTAGTTTTCGTGGTTTAATTCACTTTGCTTAAGACTTCAACCATTGAGAATGTTGATTTTCAAGAGCTAGGGTTTGAATTTATTTGCATTTTTTTCACATAATGTGAATTCGTCTGAGTGGAAAAATTATAAACGTTATGATGGTGGAGTTGTCCATTTCTTTAAAGTTGGCGGGGTAATCTTAGTATTTGTTAACAGGATGCCTGTAATCTAATGTCAAAGATATCTGAATGGATCAATCCGGCGTCAATACTTATTTCACTTTATTCAATTCTTTAGCCGGAATATCATCCATAGGGACTTGAAACCCGCAAATGTTCTAATTGGTTTAAATGGATTTGTGAAACTAGGTGACTTCGGATTAGCTCGTGAGATGAACCAAGAAAATCTTCATACGCCACATGTCGGGACGAAAAGATACATGCCTCCAGAAATACTGCTAAAAGTTAGAACTTATAACGAAAGCTTCGACATGTTTGCCGCTGGAGTAATTTTAACCGAACTTTTCGGAAGAAAATGTTTATTTCGGGTAAGTTTTCTCGTCTTAAATGGAAATATTCTACTTTAGGGTGATAGCTTGACGAGTATAACAAGATCTATGGTACGATTGTTGGGTAAAGTCGATAATAGTAGTTTGCCGGGATCAGAGCAGTGTCAATCATACAGATTCCTATTTTCAAGACATCCACCAGGGGAACCACAGCTCAGTAATGCTTTGCACGAACGTGGTCTTGCTGATGAAGCTGCGAATCTTGTAGAAAAACTTCTTTCAATCAATCCAGAGGATCGACCAAGTGCGAGTGAAGCATTAGCACATCCTTACTTCACGAATTTTACGCTGCCACCTGAAGATTTGCTCACAGTTCTTCCAGAAGAGTTAGGTACTTATGATTAAATAGCGACCATTACGTAAACAGAAAGGTATTGATCACCCTATTTTATTTTTGTTGGAAATGAATAAAGTATTTGCTGACAACTGGAATATTCAAATAAAATAAATTTTCCTGTCTTATTTTCTTATATACACACTTGAGAATATATGGAGAAAATGAGTTTTAAATACGTTAGTGGCACACTTGATAAGGTAGACGGCCACTTTGTTTTTCAAAAAGTCATACAAAAGAGGAGTTTATTTCAATATTTATTTATGTCAAATGGCAGGCGTTTTGATGATTACCATTAGCCCTTTAGTTGACTTCAGGCTTCACAGAGGGGAAGGAACATCAAAGTGAATAAAAGTCAAGAGAAGGGGAAATGAAGAGTGTTTCAAAAACGAAGGTTGAAAATTTAGAAAAAATGTGATGTAGTACTGTGGAAGTGGTCGAATATGTCATACAGTGGGGTCATGGTAGTTTGAAGTCAACTGCCGGTTAATAGGCTTCTTTGCTGTATGAGTATACTTTGCCCAGAGTGCACCACGTGGAGGTAAGTCTATCGCACACCCCTTATTTCAATATAAGATCTCCTATTAATTTCCTTCGTACAAAATCCTAGAATGTGGGGTTTGCGCGCAAATTTTAGAGGAAAAGGTAAAATTTCTTTCTATAAGGGGTGCAAAATGAGTAATTACGCAATTTATAAATAGCCTTAAGATTTATTTTACCATCAACCTGCCTACATGACTCAATTATATACAACACTTTTCATCCTCGAATTTTAAATGACTGTCTAACTTCTTAAGATTAGTTTTGATTAACTTCTCTAGAGTTTCGTGAACTGTTTGGCATCTCACTATTCAGGGATTGGCTTTGTCTAATTCATTAAAACCAATGAACACGAAGAGACACCGCGAATGATTCCCCTATACCCGACCCGGTTTACGTTACATAATTGCACAACAGTATCCCGCCCTAGTTTGCAACTTTTCTTGGGGACAAGTACTTTGTCAAGCCTGTAACACCTATCTTCAGGTTCAAAATAAATTACAAAGCTTATTAGAAAAGCGCTTCCAAACAGCCCTCTTGGGTTAGGATTAGAAGGTGGGATCAGAAAGACTTGCTGATGAGAAACTTAAATCCTGCTGTCCCTTTGTTAGTTTGCTATTAACTCGGTATGCACGGAAGGATATTTGAACCTTGACCCCTGAATTTGCAACCTAGCCAATGAAGGAAAAATGGAGAGAACACAACTGACAGCATGTATTATATGCGCGCCGTACTTTGTGATAACATAAAAAAGTAAAGAAAGTATGAGTGGGACGTAAAGAACGATTTATCAGAAAGATGAGATAGACCCCTTCACAAGAATGATGTGCAATCGAGAGATTTGAGAATTTCCTCTCTTCGTAGTTCTGCCATCACATATGTACTGGAGTCCCTCATCTAATCCTGCATTCACCACAACAAAGCAGCATCAGGAAAATGCTTGAACTGAGACAGTCTGCAAGCGATTTCTCATTTCCATTATTCTATTAGAATAGTTTATTACATTCCAGATGAAATTCGCATCTACACCATTGGTGAGAATTCTCTGGACATGTTAAGAGAACAATAGTATTAAAATAGCCTTTATAATAGCGTAGCAAACAATAAGAAGTAAGAAATTTCTCTTGGTCATCTGAAAGGTCAGATCCGTCCATGATGGTTAACTGAAACCATCACACCAATATGTCATTAGAAGCGTAGGCGGAAAAAAGTAAGTAAGTGAGAGTTTTGCTGCATTAAAGTCTACTTAAGTAATGAAAAACATGGATTCTCGTGCTAATCAAAACTAAGGAATGAGAATGCGTCAAGTCACAAATAAATAATGCTCTTGTGCAGACAGACCTTTGTAGATGTGAGACACGCCGACAAAAATGTAGTTTCGGAGAAAGTGTGAAAAGTGCGTTGACAGAATCATACCTGAATTAAAACAGTTTGAAGAATAGGGTCAACTCCATGAAGAGAGTATCTGTGTTTACAAGAGGCAAATGCATCAAAAGATTTTTGGATGATGAATTGAGATTGGGGAAGAATCGATTGAGATACAAAAGGTCGTAGAAAAATACGCTATGAAAATATAAATTCTAAAGAAAGACGTTGAAACAAGAGGACAGGGACCAAGTTCGCCTGGCAGAAAGGCATAAACTCATTGGTGAGGAACAAAGGTAAGGAGAGAACCAATGATGGTAAAAATGGGTGGAGAAGTGCCTTCTAAGCGATTTTATAGGAGGGTTAAATAGAAGACGTCATAGGAGATAAAGACGTAGAAATCGCGAAATGAACTCGTGCATGCGAGTTGGGAGTGGGAATGATATATACACGAAAGACTGTTTAGATAGGAGATATTATAAAGTGGAGGAAGATTTCTCTTTAGTTGTTTTATCAGCAGAGAAAGGAACGTCAATTCCTGCGAATAACATTTCGTTAGGAGATCCTGGTCTGCTAGCAGTAGAGGTATCATTCCTGAAATTTGCCTCCATCCACGCCCCAAAAAGTGCATCCGCCACGTCATTTTGGTTTGTATGCGAGACTTTAACCCAAAGCTGGTCATCTGGCGTTGTAATTGTTACCATCCAGTCACGTATCAGATCTTCAGTGGCAGCACCCGAATATTGAGCCTAGGATGATAAGAAGCAAAGTTAAGATACTAGAATCTCCAAATCAGGAGCAAATAAAAATACCTTCAAACTTACTGAAGTGAACATTCTCTCAGAGAAATGAACGGGCATAGGAGTATTCTCGATATCAAACAGTGGTAAGAAAATAAAAGTATCCCCAACAATAGATTGAGAAATTTCCGATGAGTCTGCAGTAGGAAAGGGAGCAATCGGTACAAGAGCGCTAAAGTGACCGGGCGTATAGCCCACAACAAGGGGCACTTTTAAGCATACGTCCTTCTCCCAGAGAAAAGGTAGATATATACCTGTAAATTAAAACGAATACAATTTAGATACTAATACTTAAAATATATGTATTCCAAAACACAACTCTACATAGATAGTTTTCTTTAGAGTCTAAGTGGAGGCGGTGAGATGAATACCAAGGAAACAGATAAAGTTACTACATCTGAGCGAAGTGACCATTGAGTAAACTGCTTTCGGAACTCAGAATTTGACCAGAATTATTTCATCTTTTGGTCGTCTTCTTTACATGGAAAGAAATGATTTCGCATGAATTCACTACATGGGGAACATCTTGAATTTTTGAAAGGACCCATTCGTCGGTGACCTATTGGCTCGCTTTTATTTGCATAGGCAATGGCACTGAGGATCTTACTTTTAAATGATGGCTTATAAGTAAAAAAAGGGTTGAAATAGGAAAAAGCAAGAATTTTTGCAATGGGGACTCCAGTTTGATTACCTCCTCTCACTTATTGTATACCTGAGATCGAGCAATCTCTAAAGTTCGTCTGATCAGGCGATTTAGCACGAGACGAACTTGAACAGTATATATCGGACAATTATGAATAGAAGGACAATGATTTTAGGTGGCGGCAATCCAGAAGTCAATTAGGTGATAAATTAGGTATAAATTGATCAGATTGCAGAATATATAGTAGGTAGTCGATACATCATAAAACGCATTGAAAATTAGAAGGTGAGGAATTTCTAACACAAAAAACAACACTCACCTTGAAATTTCGAATATTCAAGTGGTAAATCGTCAGTCAAACTAAGAACAGATTCCACACTGTATACAATAATAGGTCGGCGGAAAATGTTGGCAAGAATGAAGATGTGAATTTGCTCTAGAGGTTCATCTGTGTCAAATAAATAAAAAAACTTGTAAACACGGATGATAGTCAACACAAGTAAAGTGAAAAAATTTTCACTCACTACTTGAAGTGGCGACTTTCAAACATGACTGCCATTCCTTAAGTACCTGGTCCTTACTGAGCTCATATTCTGCGGCATCGGCCTCCTGCTTTTCGTGCTCAAACCAGATTTCGTAGAGAATTTGCTTGCATGATAGAAAACTGCTCGCGAGGATTTTACGCAGAAATGAATCACTGTCCACTACTCCAAAAGACGCCTAGGGGAAAATAACTTCATCATTATTCGAGGTAACCGGAAGGCATATCAATCCATACCGTTCACTACACTCCCAGCGCGTATCTCATACATCAGGTTTCGTAGCCATTTAAAGTGCGCACTAGTCAACCGTCTCTTAACTTAAAATATATTGACGAAATTCGTATGACATTAAGCAATGAGCAATCAAACGAAATTAAAGGGCCACGGAAAACCCGCTAACACCACTCGAATCTAGCCAATAGACTCGTCCTGAACCAATATCTTGAATAATGTACTTCCCAAGCAGAACCGTTTTGTGATCCTCACTAAATCCTGGTTTCTGGAATTGTGACTAATGCTCCTAATACATGGGAGCTCGGAGGTATCTTCTAACCTCATCTTCTCAAAATGGGTTTCACTTTTATAAATGCGACGCAACAGTAGATTTTGAGTTGATTATCGATTACAAAATAATTAACAAATAGAATCTTCGAACAGGAATATGATGAGATACGGGTCGAAAGAGATTATTTCAGTCAGGAGACCCAGTTCAAATGCGAAAATTCTAGCATTAACCTTATTATTAGTTAAAGTCAATTAATGCGGTTGATCGCTCCACTTACCAAATTTGCAAGGGTAGGGAATGGATTCACGGCCTTAGAACTGCCATCACTCATGCATTAAGATACTTATTAGACTATACATGATGGATGCGCACCCATGAAATTAAACAAACTTACCTGCATTAAACTATCCAACAAACAGTCACCATTCGCGCGGTTCAGGAGAGCTATAAGTCGACTTGTATGTTCGAAATTGTCTAGCCACCAGTTAATAGCCTTTTTCTCCAACTCTGAAGGCAATAAATAATGAATGAGGTGTCAAGCAGTATTAATCCATAAAAAGTTTAAAACCATAAAACTAAAATAATAACCTTTCTGAACAGGAATATCACAGACCATAGAGAATAATTTCGCCTGAATGGGCATTGGAAGTGACCTTAGTTCAGCAGGAATGAAGAAATTCCCATTTTTTTGGAGATAATTACAGACAAATTCGCCATCACTTTCTCTAAGGGAAACCGCAACCGCAGTCCGAATATCCCTTGATTGAGCGGAATACTTTTGCCAAGTCAAAAGAGGTTCGACTGCAGACAGTTCTTGAGAAGTCTTGATTGATTTTCCATTTGTTACACTGGAATTAAAATTGGTCACAGGCTGCGTTCCATTTGGAAAACATGACATTTGATCCGAGGCAAAAGCATTTAACTGAGACGCTTGAGATATCGTATTTGATAAATTGGCACTAAAAGGAACCACGTCTGATAGAACATTTGGAATATGTTGAGATGCGGTCACTTGAATGGGAGAATTAATTTCTCTACTTCTAGTAGCGACGCTTGAAGCATACTCGTCGTGAACGTATGAAAGCGAGGGACACGTTTCAGGTTTGAGAGATTCACACTCTGAACATTGCCTACTTTCTTTGGCATTGGGATGTGAGCATAGAGGACAGGGCCACCCATCGTTATCTGAACAGGAGGAAAACATTGCAGGGTTTAAAAGGATGAAGAACCTACAATAATCGATGAACACTGGGAATAAACAAATAGCGAGCTTATAGAACTGCCTTCCAAACAATCGGTCATTATATGAAGACCCTACCAATTTGAACCAATAGTCAAGGTTTCAAGACCAGAAATCGTTTTGAAGTCAATGCATACGAACCAAGGATCCGATTCGGACTATATTTCTATAAAAGGAGGGGGATTAGGGAGACACAATGAAACGAGTTTGTAAAAATAGGAGAAGGGGCTTGTCATAAAGTTACAATAAATTTTGTGAAGCAAGTTTCCTCAGAGCTAAAATACCAATTCTTTACACATACAGCGCATATTACATTGACGAGCATATACAACGCTGACATTTGGCAGAATTAAATTAGTTTTTTTTCTTAAATAATTAGTAAAACTAGAAAGTGTATATTTGGGGAACGCCATGTATTATGCTGTGGTGCCATAGTACACTAAATCAATAGAGAACGACGTTAGGTAAATCATGAGAATAAGCATTAGTCATATAACATAAAAATTAAATCATAAAGACAAATAAATAAATAATTTTAACTGACAATTAGCGTCAATCATTGCAACCTTATCCTCGACAGTAGGCACCGCCCTTTCAAGCTGACCACCCTCATATAGTCCTCAAAACCGTAATAATTAAAAGATAAGCATGCATTATTTTTAGCATTGTTCATCAAAAATAAAATATTTGATAAAAATTCTAAAAACAGTTTCGCTCACTTAAAATTTTTAAAAAAATATTATAGTAAAATTTTAAATATCATATCCCACATTGGAACATCTTGCATAAAATAAAATGTTACATATGCCCTTTGCCTGTTAAAATATTATTTTTTACATTATAAATATAATTTTTGTTTTAATATATTCTAAAGAACGGTTCACTTTTATTTAAAGACATGAAAAAGCAAATTAAGTTTTAATATTTCTGCAGGATGAAGGCGTTGCTTTATGATATAATATGTCTATTATTACACATTTACTTTGATTTCGTTAGACGTCGAAGATTTGATAATTATAATACATTTTAATTATTCGCATTTTTTATTTTTTACGGGTTGAATAACTGGTAAATTTAACTTAGGCAAGGTTTCCTACATTAAATCAGTCAAAAATCAAGACAAAATAATCAGCTCTTTCTCATGAATTATGCAATTTGCTATCTGAGTTAATAGTCTCAGGCGTTTTCGATCGACCAGGAATTCTCGTCATGTATTCGTTGGTTTGTCTATAAACCGGCAGCTGACATCTCCCTTCAAACTACCATGACCCCCCACCCTGTATGTCATATTTGACCACTTTCACAGTATTCACTTCACCCTTTCTCTGCCTTTGTGTCTGTCTGTCTCTTTTGCATCTGTGAACCACTCTATGAATTACTCTTCTTCCCCCCCCCCTCTCGAATTTTTCCCACTCTGATGTTCCTTCCCACTTTTTTCGATTAGGGATTAAGTACCCACTCATCTACTGAGAAAATTGAATTCTAAATCGGTTCCGGAATGGTCATATTTGGTACAATAGAGTATTCCATTGTAACTCCAAGCTAACTATAATAATTTGTTATTATGTATATATACACAATATATGGCCATTCAAGGGAGGAATTGCATTTCAATTTTCTCTTTAGGTTGGTGAACATTTAACCTCAAAGTGAAAAGGTTGCGTCGATGTTTTCTAGTTAGCGTCAAGAGCTTGTTGAGTCGTCTCTAGTAGGGGCTAGTAAATGATGCCTGCTGGACATAACTGGCTATTTTCATCGTTTGCTCATCAACTAACAAATTACTTAAGTTATACCATTAGGTTCTCAACATCACAACCTGGGTCCAAATCGCTCATTAATCTTTTCCTCTTTCTTGTGGTCAAGCTCAAAATGCAGATATATTAACGAATTTCATATTACTTCAGTCAAAACTATATATAGTTATTGGGAATCCTTCAAAATCTAAATGAAAGAACGACAATATGAGTAAAAAGGTTTTGCTGCCATTCGGACAACCTATGTTTAGAAAGGGACGTGAGGATTTGTTTCATGATAATTTATACCACCACGACCCTCTGAATCTTTGCCAACAACAGGAAGCATATTGCTACTTGGTTCAAGAAGTGGAACACTGTGGCTGCATTTGAGTGGAAAAAATATTTGTCACCAAATCGAATACCCATTCCACCAGCATGGCCCCTAATTGACAACTTTTGTTTATCGGCGATGAAGGTAAGAATCTGATATATTTTAAAATATTTTATTAGCACTTCAGTTCAGCAAAAAGCGACTATGATGCTTTAAAACATCTTAGAGCTCTAAGGAACAAATATGGAGGTATAATATCAGTGAATTCCTAAAAGATTTCGTTATTATGTGAGCCAGTAAATTTGTGACTTAAAGACCGAAAAACAAAGCATAACTTCATCGAATGCACATGAAAATGACTAGCTATTGAATAAACGTTCGTATTTACCAAAAACTCAACAACTAAAAATGTTTTGCTTTTTAGGTTAAAGAACATGTAATTTCGATATCTAATTTCATTAGAATAATTGTCCACAAATTGTAAATTAAAGAAATAATAAATTACAAAATTAAATGAAGCAACAGGCCTTCTCTATATTCAACTGCGTAGGCCCCAATAAATGTAGCAGTCGTTATCAGGAGCACAATAGCGAGAGGTTTTACCATTAGAGATAAATTACTCAATATTTGTGGTTGGGTGTGAAATATGACTCAACTTGCGTCAATTTAAAGCTATATTCGCGAAGCTTTTTAATATAAGTAGTCAATATAATATAGTAATAATATAATGTGACATTAATATAAAAGTGAAAGTAATAACAAATAAAATTGAAATAATCCAATTTTTGAAGCTAAAATCGTTGTAATATTTATTCATTCCAAATGGCAGGCGTTTTGGTAGTTATCGTTAGCCCTTATGTTGACTACGGGATTCACAGAGGGGAGGAACATCAAAATCACAAAAAATCGAAAGGGGAGGATAGAATAATGATTCACAGATGCAAAATAGGCAGACACAAATGTAGAGAAAATGGTAAAATGAGTACTGTGAAAGAGGTTGAATATGACATAAAATTGGGTCATGTTAATTTAAAATCAGAAATCAAATACCGATGTATAGAATTTTTTGTTGTATGAATATTATTTGCCCAATGTACGTAAGTCTATAACACACGAATGTTGTAACATAAATATGGTAGTATGATTGCTGTTATCTAACAATGGTATACTTGATATAAATTCTGTATAAAGCGAAATTATTCGCAAAATTTGATATTTTTTATGAAATGTTTTCTTGAATATTTTGATCACATTAGTTGATGGTGTTTATTTTTTTCAACTGTTTTCCAAGTATCCAAAGCGGTAATTTGAATTATATTATTGGTTTATGATTTTTAAAAATGTATACGTACATACCCTCAAATAAAATAACCGAAATAAAGCAGTTAATGATTGCTAAGTTTGAAGATAATAAACAATTAATTGAATCGTTAAATATTCCTGAACATTGTGATTTTAAAGACGAAGATAAATCATTAGGATCAGGAGGATATGGTGAAGTTATTTTAGCCAGAAGACCGCAAAATAAAGAACTTGTAGTACTTAAATGTTTTAAATCTCAATTTGAAACCTGCCTTCGTCCATCTGTTGTGCGTGAGATATGTGCCTTAAGTCAATTTAACCATCCAAACGTTGTAAAATTGCTAGATATCTGCTGCGAAGAATGTAAGAAGTGTATAATATTTAATTCTTAGGTATACTACATGGGTCTATGTTTCCAAAATTTACGATAGCACTCGAGTATTGCTGTTGTGACCTTACCGATCTCCTGAAAAATCAGGTTCAATACAAAGCACCCCATTACAAAAGCATTATTCAGCAAATTTTGCTTGGCTTGCAACACATTCATAGGTAAGTGCACAAAATAAATTTTTTATTTTAAATATAAATTTGAAGGATTTTGATATTTTGTAATCTATCTACATTAAAACTTTGGCAAAAGATCTGAGGGACATCTTTTGTCCATAATCTTGTGTCGCTACCGCCTTCTCTATTTGGAATGAGTTGCTGGATTCAGTCGTTAGTATTGAGATGTTTAACTTTGCTTTGCGATCTAATTTCATAAAACAAATAAATGTTAATATTTAAAGTTAGACTTCCCCATTTCATTACTTTCAAATCCCATTTGAATATTTATTTGATATGAACAGAATCTGTGCAACGGACTCTATAAAAGGGACTACTGTCACAAAAAGCATGCAGCACCATAACTTTGTGCTGTAAGTCGTGAAATTCGAAGGTCATTAGTGTACGGAATAGTAGCAAACATTTTACAATTTCTAGTCAAAAGGTAGCATCTGAAAAGTTACATTGCCCAATAAGGAATAAAAATTTGAACCAAAGGGAGTAGAGAGTAACATTTGAATTCCAAGAGCCTTGTTTTCTTGCTTCCAAAACTATTGACCACCCCAGTGTCCCAGAGTTTAATTTTGTAAATTTGTTCCTTGGTTACTCTATAAGTTTATGTTCTCGGTATTCTGAGCTGATTCAGAATTTGATTCCGTTGAAGTGTTTATGGATCCGTATCTCCTTTCACCCACGATCGGGTAGAGGAGATGGGCAGAGAATTCTGAAGTCCAGCTGTAGCCATCTTCAATAAGATAACCATATCATAAAGAGTTCTATGTACGTTAGCTAAATTCATTCATCGATTTCAACTTTTATTCTGAAAAAGTAATTCAATTAAATCATTATTCTGTTTGAGATTATTTTATCCCCATATCGAGATTTGAGCTATATACAACTATTTATCTTTGGAATGTTAAAAATGGAGAAATTAAAGGACTTTTAGTAAATGGTATACCAAGTTTTCTACCAAACATGAATATCTAATCATCCATGATAAAGAAAACAAAGTTTTTATGACCCATAGAAGGGAAAAGTAAAACGAGATGATGGGAAGACAAAGAGGAGAGAATCAGTCATAAGCTGAGAATAAAGTGGAGTCGCACTTCGTTTGAACGTTCGTAATCTAACTTTTATAATACACCAAAGTTCAGTTTTGGGTTTGTACTCCTCTATCCTTGGTGGTTTTTGTCTGCAACGATCAGACCCTTTTCTCGTTATTTAATTTTGTGTTGCAAATTCGCCCACCAAAATGCTAAGAACATTCTTTTTAATTATTACGGACTCTCTAGAATCAAAGGAACCCTATTGTTTGAATGCTTGAAGAGGTTAACTGTCTCAATTTATTGCATTTTGCAATAAATTAACCAAAAATTACTTTGTATTCGAATAAAATTACTTTGCATAGACAATTTAAACAAAGGATTGAAACTAAAATTCTTTTTTTTTCAGGCGACACATAGCTCTAAATAGAACGCTAATGGAAAAGTGGAAAAAAAAGATAAGTGGTGGGCTATTCAGTCTTGAAATTACGCGACCTTCATAGCTCCTCTTGTGGTAAAAACCTCTTGGTCCCAAAGACTTCATTTTTTTGATATATTGGAGTCATTCTGTCGGAGATTCCTTTCCGAGGTTGATGGGTGAAGATTTTGGTTGAGTGTGCCTTAAAGAGCAAAAATTTTAATTCCTTTTTGATCTTCTCATTTAATACAATTCCAATCTATTTAATTGTAGAAAAGTAAGCACACACGTATACAGTTTTTGGTGGTAGCATTGTTCCTATATTTAAAGTTAGGGGACTTTGTTTTAGTGGATAGTAACAAAATTTGTCTCTCATAGTGGTGATGTTCACGTCTTACAACTTACTAATACGTGTGTCAATTATGTGTGAATAAATATTTATTTACATTTTTAGCTCAGGTTTCATACATAGAGACTTAAAGCTGGCAAACGTTCTAATTGGTCGAGATGGAAGCATCAAAGTAGCTGACTTCGGATTATCTCGTTTGAAGAACCAGCTCGGCCTTTATACTCCACGTATTGGAACGAAGAGATATAGGCCTCCAGAAGTTGTGCTCCTACTCGGTCGGTATGATGAAACTTTTGACATATTCAGTGCTGGAGTAATTCTATCCGAATTGTGTTTGAGAACCAATTTATTTCTGGTAAATGTATTGTTTATATATATATGGTGAACGTTCTTCTTCAGGGCAATTCCGATAGAACCTTAGCAAAGTCCATGGTAGAAATGCTGGGCGACATCGATGATAAAAGTCTTCCTGGATCGCAGAGATCACGTGCATATATGCGTCTATTTGATGGTGTACGTATTGCGTCTCCCATATTCAAGGCACGTATGCAGATGATGGGTGCTTCATCGGAAACAATTAACTTCGCAACTAGACTTCTTGCTATCAACCCAAGTAATCGGCCAAAAGCAAGTGAAGCCCTAGATGATCCATACTTTGTCAATGACCCACAGCCAGATGGAAATTTACTTCCACTTCTTCCTTCCAGGCTGAGATGTCGTGACTAAACTAATAATAACTTAGTCGATGGAGAGACATTCCATCTTTTTTAACACTGATAAATTGCTCGCAATAGCACTCTATAAAATGTGGTATTTCAAACCAAACAAGAAATTAAAGCCACAGCAATACATTTTACTTGTTTCATTATCATTTATTTGTGATTTTAAATAATTTCCAAATAGCATTAAAATTGTGAGTCATCGATGGGAACAATGTGGGAAAATAAAAAGATTATTATTATTTATCATTTTCGAGGCCAGCATAGTATTAACACTCAGTTTTTAGAGAATATAAGCATTGAAATAGTTATTTACTCGAATCACCTTAAATTTATGAAAAGAAAAGTAAATACTTTAAAAGAATTAATTTAGAATAATGCTTTAGTTCAGTTTTATTTTGAACTATTACATATATTTGCGTTTTAACTTCAATATGTATTAATTTATATCAAATGGCAGACTTTATGATGGTTATCATTAGCCCTTTAGCTGACTTCGGACTTCACAGAGAGGAGGAACAACAAAGTCATAAAATGTCGAGAGGGGGGGGGGGAACAGAGGAGTAATTCTCGGATATAAAAGGGGCAGACACAAAGACAGAGAAAAGGTAAGATGAGTACTGTTGAAGTTGTCGAATACGATATATAGTTGGGTCATGGTATTTTGAAGTCAGAAGTCAACTGCTTGTTCAAAGACTCTTTTACCATGTGAGAATAAGTGCCCATGGTGTACCACGTGAAAGTAAGTCTATCGTGCACCCCCCTCAACATTGACATAGCAACTGAAATAATTACGCAATTTTCTAACAAGATTTCGTTTGTTATTTTTACATCTTACCAAAGCGGAAATTAAATTAGTCATAATTGTCAAATACTAAAGGCTTAATTGTAGAGTTTAAGTTCTCATATTCTAATGATCTCCTTACCTGCAAACTAGTAAAATCTGACGATCATGCGTGAAGGAATGACATCGATTTTCTCATTAACTAAGCGAACCATCTGAGATCGTGGTGGTTCCAACAAGATGACATGTTTTAGGGCAAAATAATATAAGTAGCATGATGATTCCGACTTTGATGTTCGTAATGGAACAATGCAAAGGTAGTTAAAGGGAAGCATTGACAGAAAACATCGTTATGACCGAATCCCAGAGTCGAACCATTATGAGACAGTGTATTTTTGGACTTGCGTATATGCACGGGTAAATAATTATAACTCGAATAGCACCGGTTTCTCAAATTCTTTAAAGGCGTCCAAATCTCCATTTCAATTTTTGTACATTGCGTATTATGCATAGAGATCTGAAGTCAGATAACCCACTGATAAGTTACGATGGAGTGCTAAAGATATGGGATTTAGAGCTTGCTCGTTTTAAAGTTGCTAAGGCAATTAAAGCTCATTACACGCCTTTTATTGGAACTTTGAACTACGGATCACAAGAAACTCTCCTTGGATGCACGAATTACGATGAAAGCTCCGATATGTGGTCCGTAGGATGCATTATGCCCTAACTTTATACAAACACCATCCTTTTCAAGACAAATTCTAACTTTAGTGCAATGCTAGCATTGAATTCAAAAAGTAATAAATTCAATTAAATTTTACTAGGGTTCCACGATTTTAGAGGTATTAAATTCAATGTGCCAAATTTGCGGCTTAATAATCAACGGCACAATTCCTTGAATGGAAAGCAGCAGAAAATTTAACCTCGTTGCAAATTTGCCCCAGTATCGAGTTAGCACGCATTGCCTCCACACTGACCTGCTCGTTAATTGAAAGACTCCTTCGACACATTAAAACACAGCGTCTAACCGCAGAACAGGCTCTTAACGATCCATACTTCACTTTGAACCAAAGTATTATTTATTTATATCAAATGGCAAGCGTTTTGATAGTTATCATTAGCCCTTTAGTGGACTTCAGCCTTCACAGAGGGGAAGGAACATCAAAGTGAAAAAAGTCGAGAGGGGGGGGGGGTGGAAAAGAAGAGTGTTTAAAGGATGTAAAAGAGACAGACACAAATGCATAAAAAGGTGAGGTGAGTACCACGAAAGTAGTCGAATATGACATACACTGGGGTGATGGTGTTTTGGAGTCAGAAGTCAACTGCCGGTTAATAGACTTTTTGCCGTATGAGTATACGTTGCCCAGGGTGCACCACGTGGAGGTAAGTCTATCACACACCCCTTGAACCAAAGTAAAGATGTCAATCTATCCAATATACTTCAGAAGCAATTTAAGTTGGATATCTTTAAGATAAGTCGGCAGGAGTTTAATCCAACCATATCTATAAAAGTCTTCTGTTAACTTCCTTAAGTCAAGCATTTTTTAACCTGTATTAACATTTTTTAATAAATCGTACACGATCTAACATTTTTTAATACTTATTTTAAAAGTCAAACTTATTACCTGAGAAGAATTTATAATTTTACGTCAAAGCCGATAGCAATATAAGTGCTAAAAATTGGAGAGCAAGATTTATGACTCAAAATGTAAGGAATACAACGCAAACTGTGGAAACTTATTTAGAAGAAGTAAACCTCATAAATGATTCTTCAAAATAAGGTGAAAATGGAGGAACCAATACAAGAGAGAGCGAACGTCAAACCCATATGTTTTGGCTCTCAATAGAAATCCACAATCCCTAAATTTCCATTTAGAGGAAAAGTGATTTCCTTCCATACAACAAATATATATGTGTATATATACATATATACATATATATATATATATATATATATATTAGGTTGGCAACTAAGTCATTGCCGATTTCAAATAAGAAGGCAAATTCGGAATTTTTGTTTAAAAATATAACTTTATTCAATTAGATATTGGCCGTTCTTGTCGATGACCTTTTTCCATCGTTCTGGCAGAGTAAAAATTCCCCCTTCGTAAAATGTCTGGTCTTTGCTATTAAAAAACTGAATTAGGTGTGATCCGACATCATCCGCGTTGTTACAAATTTTACCATTTAAAGAGTTTTGCATGGAACGAAACAAATGGTAATCCGAAGACGCAAGGTCAGGGCTATATGGTAGGTGTGACAAAACATCCCAACCCAGTTCCAATAATTTTTGCCGAGTAACCGAAGATGTGTGGGGCCTTGCGTTATCATGATGGAAAACAACACCCTTCCGCCGATTTGATAATGCCGCCGGCCGCTTATCTTCAATTGCATCCTTCAGTTTTTCGAGTTGTTCAACATACACATTTGAATTTATCGTTTGGTTCTGCGGCATGAGTTCAAAATACAAAATTCCTTTGTGATCCCCCCACCAGACTGACAGCATAATCTTTTTTTGGTGAATCTCTGCTGCTTTTGATACTGTTTGGGCTGGTTGATCTTGCTTCACCCATGATCTCTTGCCAGTAACATTGTTATAAACTATCCACTTTTCGTCGCCAGTAACTAGGTTCTTCAGAAATGGATCATTCTCATTGCGTTTCAGTAGCGGCGAATCACAGATGCTAATCCGTTGCGTCAAATGAATTTCCTTTAACTGGTGAGGGATCCATAAATCAAGTTTCTTGACATAACCAAGGGTTTTTCATTTTTTTTCAATGCATGTATGCGACACATTGAGCTTCTCTGCAATATCTCGTGTTGTGCTGTGACGATTTGAATCGATAATGGCCTTGATATGGGTTTCATCCACTTCGACTGGGTGGCCAGATCGTTGTGAATTTTTCAGTGAAAAATCACCGTTACGAAATCTTTCAAACCAATTTCGACACTGCCTATCTTTTAAGGCTTCATCTCCATATACGGCACATAACTTCTTTTGTGCTTGCGATGCGTTCTTGCCTTTTCGGAAGTAATACAATAAAATGTGTCGGAAGTGCACGTCCTGTTCTTTCATTTTTAAATTGGGATAAAAACAAAACTAAAGAACTGAACAAAAAATTTTTTTACTAATTAACCTAGAAGCCTATACAGTAAAAAAAATATAGGTTAGATGCTCTGGCCACGTTAACAAAACAAAAGAAAGTATAGAGTGAATCTGTCAACAAAAACGGCAATGACTTAGTTGCCAACCCAATATATATATATATGAAAAAAGAGAATAAGGCCTAGCTCACTTAAGCAGCCTGTTCCAAATGAACCAATCGAAGGTAGAGTAGAAGGAATTATTAAGTGATAAACAAACACACACACACACACAGAGGCAACGCAAACATAATCGCACCAGAGGGCAATCAGCGGTTTCGGCTATCGCATTCAGCGTGTTAAACTTCATCACTTCTATTGCAGATATACCTACCACAACCTGAGAACAGTTAAATCTACAACGCCAACTCTAGGTTCATAATTTCTCATTTATCAATGGAATGCACGTTTTAACTAATTAGAATGGGACCAAAAGCCAAGGAAACCATGCTGACGCTTTACAACAAAATCTGGAAGACCAGTCTCGTACTTAACCAATGGAAAGCTGCCATAGTAATACCAGTACTAAAAAAGGGCAAAGACCCTAGCAACTTTGACAACCATAGGCCTATCTCCCTCACAAGCGTTCTGGCTAAACTTATGGAAAGAATGGTTAACAGGAGGCTCACCTGGTTCCTTGAGACCAACAATATTCTTAGGAGTGAACAAGCAGGTTTTAGGCCACAAAAATCAACGAACCAACAAGTAGCCACTTTCTCCCAACACATCAAAGATGCCCTTGATGCAAGAAATACCCTTACAGCTGTTTTCGTCGATTTCATATCAACATATGACTTAGTATAGAAAGAGAAGCTAATTCTAAAATTGGCAAAGATTGGTATTAAGCATAACATGCTAAACTGGATAGAAGCTTTCATTGGACAAAGATCGTGTAAAGTTAGATACGGAAACGCTCTATCAAAATCCAATCTTTTACAAACAGGCATTCCACAGGGAGCTGTCACAAGCTGCACTCTTTTCAATGTCTTCATCAATGACATAGCCGAATTGGTACAGACAGTCACGGGCATCAAGTGCTTACTGTATGCAGACGATCTTGTTCTATGGTATTCCGCCCC